TTAATAAATCAGTATCCTCCGAGTGCAGGAGTCAAAGGGGATGCGCAGCAGAGTCAATTATCTAAAAAAATCCAGATTGCAATGTCTGTGGTTATGATTCTGAACACGAAACAAAAAAAAAACAGTTCCCTCCTTCACAGTCGAGCAAGAATTGAGGCCTGAGGGCCGCAACAATTGCAGAAGAAGAAGATAGAGGCCAGGTCACTTACCTTTAGATCAATATGGAGAATCCAATATGGCGCAGTTGAGCAGGAAGTCATCGACCTGGACCAAAGTATGCGAAGCCGGGGAAGATGTTCTCGTCGCTGGGCCAAGCAGATGCGATAATAAAAGGGTAAACCAGTACTTTGGGTGGGCAACGGATATATTAATAACTTTCAGCTGAAAAAGTAACTCCATGGTTCCTTTTCTGGCTGATAAGAAAAAACAGCCCAAACAGCCCACTTGGCATGTGTTTGGCTTTATTATTGTACTTTGAGGCTTTTCAGCCCAAAATCAGGCCTCCAAACGCCCCCTGAGACCTACACTATCTATTGCCACACAACCATGGAAACCCAAATGTTTACAGATTTTCTCACAATAAACAACATTTGGTTTTGTTTCCATCAAGAAAAGAATTTGAGGTCTTTTTGTTTGCACAAGATCAAGTAAAACATGGACAGTAGCAAGGTTGCAGAGACCCCGTCTATTCCAGCTGACCACGCTCATTGAAACTACTTCCTAACACTCTATTCGTGCACTGCAGACCAAAAAACACCAGTTGCAATTCGCCAAAGCCTTGCCCAACACCTCCAGAGTCGAGCCTCTAGAATCCTCCCTAAATCCGCAGATCAAACTTCCAGCTTCACTTAAAACATGTCCAAAACTCTGGAACCAAGCCGCCGAGTCTTCCCCAGCCGCCGTACGTCAAGATCCCTAGACTTGCTAGGCTTGTCCGCTTTTCTCTTCAGTTCGCTCAATCGTTGCACCTAAGGATGGCAATGGGGCGGGGACCCGTGGGGAACCGCCCTGCGGGGGAAGGATGGGGCGGGGCTTGGGGCGGGGTGGAGACGGGGATGAGTGAGATATTTTTACGCCGTTAAAATATGGGACGGGGGACGAGAATTGCTACACCCGCCCCGTCCCCGCCCCATCTTCCGTTATAAATATATACTCAAACATATATATATACACACACACACATATATAAATAATGTACAAACATATTAAATTAGATTATATGTAGTATATAATAAGGTGAGAACTCCGGTACCCATTTAAAAAATGAGGTACCGTACCTACCATTCACTTGATTGGTCCACATAGGTATATCAATTTTAATTTAGACTTAAATAATTCAACTGCAACATTCTGATTGGTCCATGTGGACAAAGGTACGGTACCTTTTGGGTATCATAGAATCTACCATATAATAAACACATATACATATAGACATACATAATTGTATACGGTTTATTCATAATTTGGCTTGCAAGTGCAATCATGGATCGAGATTTAACGGAAAGATAGGGGGCCTTGAAGCATTTTATTTAAAAAAGAGGATTTTGGTTATGTTAAAATAGGGATGGAATGAGCACCACATTCTTCAGATTTTATTTTTGAAATTGTGGTAGAGGCCAGAAGTGATGGGTGGGGATACATATAACATATATATTGGTCTCGTTTTTATTTAGAAGCAACGTAACAAAACAAAAAAGAAGATGGGCAAGTGGAATGAATGCACGACGAAATGGCTAAGGCGGCTGAAAGAAAAGAAGGATAGAGAAAAAGGAAAGCAGCAGCGCGAAAAGGGATTTCAAATCGTCCCACACCGGAAGAGGAGAAACAAAGAAGCCGAGCATCACGTTATAAAATAAGGCCCGGGCAGCCTGTTTTACTTACTTACCTGGACGGGGTTGATGGGCGATCAACAAGGCCCATGGCCTAGGTTGATGACTTCCATTGCACTTTGGAAGGGTGTCATCTTAAGGTCTACTCAAGTGGTGGAGCCTACGTCATAATTTGTGGTAGTGGGGGCCTGCGTTTGCGCGGCCCCTATCCTATACTAGTTCAATTCGTTTGTCATGTTTTTGACGAAGCCCATTTAAAAGTAAAGCTGATAATTATCCAATACTTGGTAATGATAATTAGTTGCACTGATGTTTGAGTTTTTCTTTACATAATTGTGATCATTTTATTTTGTTATATACACGATTAGTGATTGAAACTAAAGTTCATTAAACTTTATCATTAAACTTTATCATAAAATATTAGGTACTACTACTAACTACTTGTAATAGATAGGCACGGAATATTTATCTAGTAAACTAAATAAATAGTGAGGGGTCAAGTATAATGTGGGCGAGAGTACATTTCACTACTTAAAGGACCATATTTATAATAATTTGGACAATTGAGGGGTGACATTACAATATTAGAAATACAAGTCTGAAATTTTAATTTCGTAGATAACTGAGGGGCCATATATGCGATTTTCTCCTAAAAATAATCTGAGTGTTGTCATCGACCGGTTTGCTTTATCTTTAGTCAAACATTGTAAATCGAAAGAGAAACTTCTTTATGGGACGGAAGGAGTATTTAGTTGTACTATAAATAAGTCATATTGTAATTTTATATCTTCATGTGTCTGGATAGATTTTTTTATAAGTGTATTTCTATTTAATTTAGTCGAGGAGTCTAAAATTTGGTAATTGCAACAGGTTAGCAGTTAGCAAAACAAAACCCTTTATACATAATTACATAGTGTGATACTGTGATCCTATAAGTTGAAGACTATTATGCTTATTTATAATTGTCAGTTTGTCACCTACAAAAATATTCAAGTTTTGCATAAATATATTTTTCTTTGTAATTAAGTTTCAACTCTTAATACGTACTTATGCATGTATATCTTTCTACAAAATTCTCAAAAAATAAAAATAAAAATAAAGCTCTCAAAATGATTAATTTAAAGTGACCAAAACACTACAAAAAAATTGCGCGATTGACACGGATTTGGCACGAATTTACCGATAATTTCATTCCAAATTACTTGTACGTGCCAAACTATTTTTGGCACGGATTTAACATATCCCTAAAATCTTTGCCAATTTCAGAAAAACCCCTGCAAAAAATCCTTGATAATCCAGTGTTTTTTTTTATTGTAGTGGAAGTATTGTAACTCTTTTATTTTCTAATTATAAAATTTATCTCAATCATTTGGTACTTATATAGATATAATTATCAGCTCCAATAATGCTCCATGATACGAAGTATTTCCTCCGTCCCAAATTGAGTTCCAAATTTGACTTTTTTGGGTTAAACTGTCATTTTATTCGCTTAATTAGGATATCAATTCTCTATTAAATTTTAAATTGGATTTTCCAACTTTATAAAGAGGCCGTTTGGCAACACTGTTTTTCGGCTTATCAGGCTTATCGACCAGCTTTTTCACCAAACACGTAACTTTTGCTTTCGCGCACTGAATTGTGTAATAAGCAGAAAAAGTAAGGTTGAAGTTACTTTTCTGGCTGTATTAACTGAAGTAACTGTAGATGACCATTTTAGCTATTTTTACATATAATTTTTTCTTTATTTTATTAATAAAATATATTTGAAAAATAATTTTTTTTCTTGAATCAGCCAATGCACCCACTTCAGCCAAAACTTCATAAATTTCAGCAGAATCAGCCAAAACAGCCAATTTTGATGCTACCAAACGGGTTCAAAGATTTTAATGTAGTTTCTGAATATGTAAATTTTAATTGTTAATATTGAATAATTATTATCAATAGTGAGGATTTTTAACTTTAACATTGATTACTAAAAATGTTGACTTTCCAAAATAAATTGGGATGAAGGTAGTACTACTTACGAAGTACTCCGTATTTGTTATTGCATTTAATTTTCTAAATTTTATCTCTAACTTTTAGCTAGTAAATACTGTTGGATTGCTAACGACTTTGAAATATATACGGAGTTTTATTTGTATAATCAATCAACGTTACATGAATGGAGATCCAGTGATATATGAAACATATAAAAAAATAGGGAAAACTGTCAAATAGGTCCTCGAACTTTCATAAAAAAGTCAATTAAGTCCTTTTATAGGAGACTTTGTCTGGCCGTCGCGATTTGGGGCGGTTCCCGGTGGAATTTTTTGATGAAATTTTTCTAGCATCTTATTCATCAAGTCTAGTTTATTCATACCAAATTTGAGCTAAAACTTCAATCGGGAACACATTCAAATTAATTCTTGAAGATAACTGCGCATTTTTGCGTTCTTGAATTAATCTAAATGCGTTCTCAATTGAATTTTTAGCTGAAATTTGGTATGAGTAAACTAGACTTGATGAATAAGATGCTAAAAAAATTTCATAAAAAAATTCCACCGGGAACCGCCCCAAATCGCGACGGCCGGACAAAGTCTCCTATAGAAGGACTTAATTGACTTTTTTATGAAAGTTCGAGGACCTATTTGACAGTTTTCCCAAAAAAATACTATTTTTATACTACGTAGTAATTAATTTTAAGTTCGACTCTTAAATAAACAAACCTCGAAAGTTACGGAACATATCGAGTCTAATTCATTCATGATATCATACATTCATACACATGTATTCAAGAAAAAGTTTCAGTGATCGATAGATTATGAATTGTGAGTTACATTTCTAAACATTGTTAGTATTTTATTTGTCACGATTTTTAATTTTAAACATTGTTATTATTCCTAATTAAATTTGGATGTAAATATTAAAACCACGTGGACGTGATGTGTGATTAGTTTACTTCTAATAAAGTACGTAGTAGAACATAACATTGATGAATTAATCACGTATAACTACCGATTGTATTTTTTGGGTTAAATTTTCTCCAATTTGTCGTCAATTCGTCATATAAAAAATAGAACACACAATTAAGGGAACGAAATTAGAACACACAATTTGTCGTCACTTTATTTGGTACTTAGGGGTCGAAATTACGTTGCATTTTCTCGTTAAATGCAGAAATCAAAAGAATAATGGCAAAATAGAGCACATAAATAAATGTAATTCAAACTCTGTCTTCATAAATTATCTAAGAATTGATTGAGATAATCAAAGTACTAATCGACTAACTATCATTACGCGGCCATGCATGCATATCAAATGTATATGCAAGCACTTTCATTATTCCTATCTAGCTAATTAATAATTAATAAATTGATAACAAATCTAATTAACTATATATGACTAATTAAGTCCGGATTGAGCATTGATGTTTGATAACCGGAAGGTACACCCCATCAATGCATTCGTCTTTGATCTCAGCAACCAAGGTACAACACTCAGTAGAGAATGTGTAGCCTTTAGTGTCACTAAATGTGAAAGTCCCATCTTTCATGCAATTCTCAACCGCAGCAGGAGTTGAAGAGCATTTCGTTGCCATGGTCTTAGATTCTTCGGCACCTTTTCCGTCATGGTGCGGCAGCCACGGCCACCGGGACCCACCCGAAGGGAGCGGCGGGAGAGCAATAGGCCATTTGAATTTAGGCAACCAAGAAGGCAATGGAGGGTGAGGGAACGGCCAGTGGGGCATTGGCGGGTGAGGGAACGGCCATTTTGGCATCGGCGGACGAGCGCCGATGCGTGGGAATTGTGGATGATGCCAGAAGCCCAATGCTTCCACTTCGTGACTCTTTTCCTCACTAGTACTAGCAGTTTTTGATTGTTTAGATGGCAAAGGAGGATGGGGCAGCCAACGCCATCCACCACGGAATCCGGGATAGCGGGGCCAAAACGGGCTGCCTCGAATGGGTAGATGAGGCGGCCAGCGAGACCAACCACCGGCAGGCATAGGAGGGTGGGGCTTGTGAGCCCATCCCGCTGGCAAAGGAGGATGAGGATGGGGCCAGTGACCCCATCCTGTTGGCAAAGGAGGGTGGGGTCCCCGCTTCAACCAAGGGCGGGGATGCCACAAATTTTGATTTTTGAAAGGCTCATTCTTAGTAGTTGAAGTCTCGACATTCTTTGCACCATCCTTATTCGCAAAAGTATGGAAAAAGAGAAGTAGGGAAGTGAGGAGGAAAAAGAACACTTTAGGAGCCATAATAGAGTGAAGAATTGATCGATTGTGAAAATTAACTGCTCACACCTTTAGGCTTTATATAGGCTCTTATTAGGGTGTGATGTGGTTCTCAAAAAAAAAAAAATTAGGGTATGATGCATGTGATGAACTGTGAAGGCGGGAGATGGGATATATTTTGAATTTGTGATACACATTTAATTTTTCAATAAATAAAATATTAAATGTTGCAAAAAAATAAATACAATATTGAGTACGTATTTATCTACTTATCAATAAGTACGTACTTATCCACTTATATTTTTAACTTAGATAAAGTTTTATCTTCTATATACGAAGTATATAATAAATACGGATGGGAGTATATTATATACAACTAGTTACAACCGTCGGCTATTTATTTATTTATTTAACTAAATGTAAAATTAAAAAGAGATATTACCCGAAATAGGACTAAAACAGTTTGAAAATTCCAAAATAGGACTGTCATGTTTTTATTCCCAAAATATGACTAATTACTGCCATGTTTTGACAGTATCAGACTTCAAACATGACAGTATTTTCCAAACTTGGCAGTAATTACTCCTATTTTGGGAATAAAAACATGACAGTCATATTTTGGAATTTTCAAACTCTTTTAGTCCTATTTCGGGAACTTTCCCAATTAAAAATTGCATTATAATCACAACGAATTCATCTACAATCCAAACTCAGTGTTACCGCTAGTGTTACATATACGTACGTAATACTCCGTATATTATTGCATGCATATAATAATGATAATATCTTAGTTAATTTATTATTTAAAAATGCTTAAATAAATATAAATATAAATATATGTTGATTTATTGAAATATATGCGCTGCCTGGTTATTATATTATTATATTACTATACGAGGTATTCACTAGGTAAACAACTACGGCAACTTTATATTATTATTACGACCAATAATAAATTGTGTTACATATTTTAATTTTATGTGTTATATGTCAGCTATGCAATGCAACTCCCAATAATATGAAGTACTACGGCATGTTTTAATGAGTATCTCAAGGAAGATTGAATCCTAATAGCTCTACACTTCTATTTTGTTTACAATTCCCACCTAAAGAGCATTTAATTTTGCAAACTTATCTCTGTGTTTGTGTAGTCTCGAAGTGTTCAAATCATTAATTAATACCTTTGCACGATATATTTAATGTTTTCTAAACATGATTAAATAATGTTTATCACAAATAGTAAGATGTTTAATAACCGTCTCGAACATGCCATTTTCGGATCAACGAGTTATATTGTTGTTTTGTCAAAGGTGATTAACTCAGAGTCTGACCAATGACGGATGATTACTTGTGGTTCTTTTGTTATTTTAACTCTTCTTCCAAAAAAAATTAGTAAGATGTTTTTACTTGGACTTATTTCAGCTTTAGATCAGAGGGGTTGAAATTCAACCTATATACAGAATGAAAATGGTCGATCGTTTTTAAACAATGTTCAAGTTGAATATTTCATATATATTTTAGATAAATAGACACTCGTAGCAACAATATAGATTGTCTTTGCTATGTTTCTGAGCCTGTTACGTAAATATTGAGTGAATTGTACCCTAATTTTAAATTTTAGGAAAATAATCTACAGTAGCATCAAATTTTGTTGATTTTGCGTTTAGATAGTGCTGATTTTCCAGAAGTCATAACTTTTTAGTACGTATGTATGTACATATGTATGTACATATGTATGTACATATGTATGTATGTGTGTACGTATGTATGCACATACGTACGTATGTACGTATGTATGTACGTACGTACGTGTGTGTATAGTATTAGAAACGTATTGCAACTAACATTAGTATCAGTATTAATATCTTGTAAAGGGACGGATCCAAATTATATTTAAGGTCGATGTGGGTAAAAAAATCAGCTAGTGTGGGCTAGGGTACGGTGATTCTTTTCCCTAGTGTAGGGCTCTGTTATTTTTATTATTCAAAAATGACATCAGTACATTAGTACATACACAATATTTAAATCCGCTACACTAAGGAGTGTTTGGATCTGATTCTTAAAACATTCTGCTCCTTCAGGGAGCAAAAACAGAAGCTGGAGTGTTTGGGTGAAATTCCAGAAGCACTTCTGGTGCTCTAATTTACTCTCAAAATCAGTTTTTTTAGAAGCTGGGGGGTACCAGCTTCTGAAAACTGATTCTGATTCTGCTTCTGCTTTAAAAAAGAAGCAGAAGCAGAATCAGTTCCAAACACCCCCTAAGTTTACACAATAGGAAAAATAACTTTGATTTTATAATTGAAGTGTTATATTAAAAATATTGGTACATTAGAGTACAAGAAGTGGCAAATTAAAGGAAAATAATTGAAAAATAAAAAGAATAAAATAATCGAAATAAAGAATTGATTTTTGAATTACACTTTTTGTCCACCAAAGATGTTCATGAGTCATGACAACTAAAATTACAACAGTATGTATAAAATTAATTATTTTTAAAATTTAATTATGTTGCTAATTCATATGGATGGTGCAGTCACTGGAGAACCTTAGTCACGGACTAAGGCCGTGACTACGTTTAGTCACGGCCAAATCCGTGACTAACTTTATTTTTAACAATCCGTGCCTAGTCTGTGAGTACAACCGTGACTACTTAGTCACGGACCGGATCCGTGACTAAAATCCGTGACTAAACGCGTGTTTTTTTGTAGTGAGCATCACACCGAGCAAGTCATCTGTTAACCAATAATCTACTTGAGTATTTTCTACTCGTATCTTTTGTTTTCAACATTTCATTACTTGAATCTCTTCCAATAATTAAGTATTTTGCATTTTTAAAGTATTGTAATTTGTAATCTTCTAAAATTATTTGAATTGGACTGCGTATAATGAATGCTTCAATGTCGTGAATGGGTAGATGTCATATGATAATATATGTATATATTTTTTTAAAAAAAAATGTATTTTTAATATTTATAAATACACCTCTATAACTTTTAATATTTACAAATACACCCCCATAATTTTTAATATTTATAAATATATCCCGTATCCGTATCCTAGTTTTTTTTGTCGTATCTCTATACCCGTTTCTGCATTTCCGCATACTTGTATCGATGCTACATAGACGTTACTAATACTATATATATATATATATATATATATATATATATATATATAAAAGATATTAATAGTAATACTATTATTAGTAGCATTACTAATATTAGTATAGGATATAAATAGTAAGACTAAAATTAGAAGCAATACTAATATTAGTATAGGATATTAATAGTAATATAGATTAGCATTAGTAATGTGTGATATTATTAATTATATGAGGTAATTCCTTCAAAGAAAAATACAAAGTAATTGTTATTTGTGTGGAAATTTGAAGTGATATATATACCGAGTATTAATTTAGTGAAAGAATTCCAAAAAATTATTGATTAAAATGTGATGGACAAAAATATTACGTCGTTTGTATCAGTGATTACAATTGTGTTCATAATTTACATCGTAGTAACTAAATGTAAGTTATTGTGATAAATAACTTTGTCTTAATCTTAATATAATACGTTGTCGAACATTTAGTGGAAAATATTACGTTAGTTGTATCAGTAAGTTGTCGTGACTTACAAACATCTTTGGCAGACAAAAAGTGTAATTCAAAAATCAATTCGTTACTCCGATAAGATTTATGCAATTAAACAAGACATAGCTAGGTTATTTAAAACATATTAGTGGATGTATACATTTTAGACACTTTATCTTAAAATAATTTGATACAATTTTTATCTTCTTTTTTTCAAATAATTTTTCTTTGATTTTCCACTTCTTCTACTCTAATGTACCAATACTTTTTATGGAACTCTTCAATTAAATGTCATGTATGTATTAATGACATTTTTGAATAAAAAAATAACAGCCCCACACTAGTGAAAAAAAATCGCCCCTAGCCCACACTACGTGATTTTTTTTTTACCCCCCCTCGACCCTAAGTTTTGGATCCGTGACACCTGTCCCTTTATAGGATATTAATAGTACTGATGCTAATGTTAGTTGTTATAGGTTACTAATACTATATAAGATATTAATAGTAATACTAATATTAGTACAACAACAACACCCAAGTCTTAGTCCCAAAAGATATTGGAGTCGGCTGACTTGAATCGATACACGATATTGCTGATTGGCGCCAACCCAGCGCCTAGCACCTAGGTGGCTAGGCGGGCGCCTAACACCTAGGTGGCTAGGCGGGCGCCTAGCACCTAGGTGGCTAGGCGGGCGCCTAGTTGGAGTAAGTCGGAACATAGAAATTGCATATTTATCTATATTTTTGCATAAATATGATAAGTAATATTGTATTCTTGTGTGAATAAAATACATATATACGCATACATTAACAAACATGAATGATAGAATTATCACATTTAATCATATGTAATATATGATAGCTAAACACTTAACTTCATTATGTTATAAATATAAATAATAATAAAACTTAGGTATATATACAAACATATATAGTCTTTATCTTAATTTAAGACTTCATTTCTTTATATTCGTGGCTAAAGTTAAAGTACTTATATCGCTTAAAAAATTAAAATTGAAAACTAAAGTAATGTTCGGCGAATCTAGACGGCCTAGGTGGTTGATTAGGCGCTCTGGGCGGGCAACTAGGCGCCATATGCGGCCGACTAATTCACCTAGACGACAAACCAATAAGTCGCAGCGCCTAGACGAAAATCGGGGCGCCCGACCACCGCCTAGCGCCTAGGTGGGGACTAGTCGCACGCCTAGAATGATTTTTAGAACAAAGCATGATATCACCACCAAAAGGAAAAGAAAGAAAATAAAGATGAAAAAGATAAGCTATTATGAAAAAGATAATATAAAAAGAAATGAATATATCTAAAAAATTATAAACTAAAAAGGATAAACATAATGTTTATATATAAGGGTAAAAGGATAAAAAAAAACAAGAAAAAAATGAGGAGAAAAGATAATATGAGATCACTCCTCCACACGAATACTCGCCCTCCACTTTGCTCTC